GAAATTAGCAAAATTAAAAAGGGATTCTACTAACAACCAAAATAGAATAAAAACTGAAAAGAGGGCGACTCCACTGATAAGAAAACTGAAATACATGAAAAAAAGACTCTACTTACAACCAAATCGAAATAAAAGTCAAGGAACTTAGGAGTCTCTACTGACGAGAAAAATAAAAAAAAGAGAGTAAAGGGACTCTACTGACAAGAAAACCGAGATAAAAGGACTCTATTGAGAAAAGAACTCTTCTGATGATCAAACTAAAACTCTACTGACAAGCACAATATAATAGAATAACGTAATCTGTAATTGAAAATCAATCAAAAATTTTAAAAACATTAAATGTGCCAATTCAATTTGGCTCTTGCAAAGACTATTAAGACATTCATATGTGGCGTGCTTTGCAGCTTTCATATTTATTATAAATGCACCACATTTTCAATTAGTTAGTCATTTCTATACTAAAAATTTTATACTGGAAGTATTTTTTATGGCAAAACAACGTTTGCGTGTCAGTTTGTATATATATTACGGTGGTCCTTGATATGGACATTTTGGAATTTCTTTGCTCCCAAGGGCTTAAACGCTTCCAAAATGATGAAAAAAAATTCTATGAAAGTTTCAAGTCTTAATATTAACATTTAGACAGTCCGCAATGATAATAATGATTATACGGAACTTTAATTGAATGGCGGACTATCTAAAAGTTAATATTAAGAGTTAAAATTTTCAGAGAATATCCTTTTATCAATTTGGAAACATTTGAGCCCTTGGGAGCAAAAAAATCCTATCCATATTAGGACCACCGACCAAAATACATATACATACATACTAGGTATCCAATGCCAATTTCTTTCTTTTATACATAATACTAGATATCTATTACCAATTTCTTTTATACATATACATATATACATATATCTATTACCATTTAGAGGTTACATTTTTCTTTTTCCAGACAATTCATATCAAAACTGCCCGATAAGGGTGCAAAAATTCAAGAATTCCACGACAAAATAGTGCGGGAGCTGGAAAGCAAAGATTTAGTCGAAAAAACGTGCCAGGATTTGTTGAAACTCGAAATTTCGAAAAAATATGTCCTTGAGGACATCGAATGGGGCAAAAAGGCCAGGATTATGAATATATTGATAGCGACGACGATGATAATAATAATGATATGATGATGATAAAAATTCTGGCAAGGAACGGCCCTTATAAAAAACAGATTAAAAAAATTGTACCCGAAAAGCCCTTAATTACGGTAAAGGACTTACAAGATATTACAGGGGAAAATAATTTATCTAAAGAAAGTCCTTTATCTTTACCTAAAGACAGTCCTTTATCTTTAGTCTTTATCTTTTTGCCTTATTACCTCATGTAAAGTATCTTCTCAAAAAAGATGAAAATTCCCAAAAAGAACCTAAGCCCAAATTTTTACCCTACAAATCTACGAAATCCGACGTACACAACCCTTTCAAAGAATTAACCCGGTGTCAAAAATTAAAAAAATTCGAGATCACCGCAGCCACTCCCCCGCCGTCAATTAATGGCCCTGTTAAATGTTTGACTTTGTTAGAATCTCTGGCTTTGCAAAAAGAACAAGAGGAACATCGAAAGGTAAGGGTAATAAGGGAATCTGTGTGTATATTTTAGATATTATGTATTATTTAAGGGTGGCCCTTAGGAATTTTTAGGCTCCCAAGGGCTCAAAAGTTTCTAAATAGATCAAAGAATATTCTCTGAAAATTTCAAGTCTTAATATTATTTCTAAGATAGTCCGCAATGATATTAATGAATGTAAGGGGTAAAGGATAAAGGAATTTGTGTATATATAAGGGTGGCCCTTACGAATTTTTTTGTTCCCAAGGGCTTAAATGGTTCTAAAGTAATAAAAGATAATTTTGTAAAAATTGCAAGTCTTAATCTTAATATTTAGATAGTCCGCCATTAAATAAAAGTTTCGTATATTCGTTATTAACATGGCGGACTACCTAAATGTTAATACTAAAAGCTGAAACTTTCGGAGGATTTTTGTTTAATAATTTGGAAGCGTTTGAGCCCTTGGGAGCAAAGAAATTCGAAAGTGTCCATATTAAGGGCACCCTATATATATATGTGTATATATATATATATATATATTATATATATATATATATTATATATATATATTCATATCATATTTGTGAAGTTGTGCGGTTTTAAGTTCGAGTCTTTGATATTTTTCCTTGTTTATACTTTTTGATCGTCAGTAGAGTCCCTTGCGTCATTTTTTTCTATTTTGCTAATCAGTAGAGGATCTTTTTTTAATGTTGCTCTTCAGTAGAGTCCCTTTAGTTTTTTTATTTTGCTCGTCAGTAGAGTACCTTTTGTTTTTTTTTTAATTTGTTTGTCAGTAAAGTTCCTTTTGCTTCTTTTTTATTTCAGGTTGCTCGTCAGTAGAGTCCTTTTGTTTTTTTTTATATTTGCTCGTCAGTAGTGTTCCTTTTGTTTTTTTTAATTTTGCTCATCAGTAGAGGATCTTTTTCTTGTTTTAGAATTTTGCTTGTCAGTAGAGTCCATTTTTCTTTTTTTTAATGTTGCTTGTCAGTAAAGTTTCTTTTGCTTCTTTTTATTTCATGTTGCTTGTCAGTCCCTTTATTTTAATTTGCTCATCAGTAGCAAATGTTGCTTTTCATTTCAAAGAAACTCTATTTTGCTTGTAAGTAGACACCTTTTTTATTTTTGCTTATCAGTAAAGTCCTTCTTTCTACTTTTTTTATTTGGTAGAATATCACTAGATATATATTTCTTTCTGTCTTGTCTCAGTTTCCTCGTCAGTAGAGTTTCTTTTACTTTTTCTTTTCTTTTTTTTTGCATTTTTCTCGTCAGTAGAGTTCCTTTCTTTTATTATGTTATAACTAAATATACTAATGAACTAACTAGAAGGAAATAGTAATTTAAAAAAAAAATGACAAACAGAAAAAATGTGAAAAGGGGGCACTACTGATAAGCAAATTAAATATCAAAATAGAATTTAGAGAAGGAACTTTACTGACGAGCAAATTAAAAATCTAGACAGAATTAAAAAAAGGACTCTACAGACGAGCAAATTATCACAAGACGAAAAAGGGACTCTACTGACAAACAAATTACAGAAATTAGAAAAAGGAACTGTACTGACGAGCAAAATAAAAATCTAGATAGAAAATTAGCAAAGGACTCTACTGACGAGCAAATTAAAAATCCAGACAGATAATTAAAGAAGGAACTCTATTAACGAGCAAACTAAATATCGTATTTGTCTTGTTTAAGTTTCTTCGTCAGTAGAGTTTCTTTTACCTTTTGTTTTTAATTTCAATTGAAAAGTCGGGCGTAACATCAATAAAAATAGTGTGAGAGTTTTTAAAAGTTTATTTATTTAAAATCCATACGTTTCGGCTAGCATCTAGCCATCATTCAGTGGTAATCAAATTAACTATAAAAATTAAAACTAGATAAATAATAATAATAAAAATAAGGACACTTACAATTTTGTATCCTAATATAACATATGAATTAGGACACAAAATTTTAAATTGATTGCCACTGCATGAAGGCTAAGATGCTAGCCGAAACGTATGCATTTTAAATAAATAAATTAAAAAAAACTCTCATACTATTTTATTGATGTTACGCCCGAATTTTAAACTCGAATTAAAACACATATATATATATATATATATATATATATATATATATATAATATACATATATATATATATATATATATATATATATATTTATATATACTAGCATACCCGGCCACGCTTTGCTGTGGCTTTCACACCAAATTTCATTTATTTTTTTCCCAGTGGAACTGAAACACGCCCAATTACAAAATTTCCAAGAAATTCACTCCGAAATAATCGCTCCGAATTCGTCGAATTTCCAAAATAATCAAAATCAAAAATTTCTGGAACTTACCGAGAATCCAAGAAAGAAATTCAATCCGATGATGAAAATGAAAATGATGAAGAAGTCGAAGTTTACGATGATGAAGATGAAAACAACGCTGGCACGATACGATATACGGTCACCGAATATTTATCATAAATTGTAATAATTATTGATGTAGGTTATTATTTTGTATGAAATTGTGATAATAATAAAGTTGATTTTTATACGATAATGATGATTTCATTTGAATTTTAATGTTTATAAAGGAAGCCCAACCTTTTTTCTACTTGTCTATGTCTTGCTCGTCAGTAAATTTCCTTCCATCTACTATTTTTGTTTGTTCGGGGTGCAAATAATTCTCTTTTTAAATTTTGTTCGTCAGTAGAGTCCTTTTCTCTTGTTTCTTCTATTTTGATCAACAGTAGAGTTCCTCATCCTTGTCAAAAAGTAAAGATAATAGTAGAGTTCCTTTGTCCCTTTGTTTCGATTTGCTCGTCAGTATAGTCCCTTTTCTCTTTTATTATAGTTAGTTTGTTTATAAATTTCCTTCCTTCTATTTTTTGGTTTGCTCGTCAGTAGAGTTCCTTTTTTATCTATTTTTTGAAAATTTTACGTCAGTACAGTCCATTTCTCTTGATTTTTTTAAATTCTAGTAGAGTCCCTTTTTTAATTACTATCTAAATATTGAATTTGTTCGTCAGTAGAGTCCCATTTGTAATTCCCTGTCTAGATATTTAGTTTGCTTGTCAGTAGAGTCCCCTTCATTATATTCTATCCACATATTTAATTTTGTGAGTAGAGTCCTCTTTATAATTTTCTGCCTAAATATTCAATTTTGGTCATCAGTAGAGTCCTCACTTCTTTCCTTTTTTTGAATATTAAGTTTACTTAACTCTTATCATGTTTTGCTCGTCAGTAGAGTTCCGTTTGTTCATCATGTGGAAATTTAGTTTAATTTGATTCAAAGTAAAGTAACTGTAAGTTTAATATAAGTTCAAAAATAATAAAAGAAGGTACCGTACTAACAACCAAACAGTAGTCAAAAAAGGAAACTCAATTAACGAGTAAAAACAAAGAAAAAGAACTCTACTGACGAATAAACTGAATTAACAAATAATTGAGACTCTACAGATGAGCAGTTAGTAAGAATACTTTATGCTCACCAGTAGAGTTTCTTTTCATTTCACTTTCTTTCAGTTTGCTCGTCAGTAGTGTCTCGTATCTTTTCTTTTTTTCAATTTTGCCCAGTCAGTAGAGTCCTTTATCATTATTTAACTATTGCTCGCCAACATAGTCATTTTTCCACATTTATTTAAATTCACACTTCAGTAGAATCCTTTTTTGTCTTTAATCTTGCTAGTGAGTAGAGTTTCTTTTCGATTTATTTATCAGTAGACTTTTTCTCCCTTATTAATTTTGCTCGTAAGTAGAGTCCCTTTTCCAAATTTAATCCGATTCCTCGTCAGTAGAGTCCCTTTTGCTTCTTAATTTCATTTTGCTGTCAGTATAGTCCCATATGTTCCTCGCCATGTAATATAGTTTTTTTGTCTGTGAGTAGAGTCCTTATTGTTGATATTTTCCTCTGATGATATTTTGTGTGTCAATAGAGTCCGTTTTTTCGTCAGTAGACTCCCGTTTTTTTACTTCAGTTTATTCATCAGTAGAGAACTTTTTTGTTGCTGCTCGACAGTAGAGTTTCTTTTGTCTTTTGATTTTTTTCGCCAATGGAGTTCTTATTTGACATTTTTGAATCCATTTTTATTTCATTTTATTTGTAAGTAGAGTTCCTTCATTCCTTTCATTTGATTTACTCATCAGGAGAGGGTATTTTACTTTTTTTTTCTGTTTGATTGTCAGTAGAGTCCCTTATTCCTCTCATAAATTTTGATCATCAGTAGAGTCTCTTATTCTTTTATTAAATTTTGCTCGTTGGAAGAGTCATTTTCTCTTTTGTTTCGGTTTGCTCGTCAGTAGAGTCCCTTTATCACTTTTTTTAGTTTGCTCGTCAGTAGATTCCAATAGTACCTTTTTTAAATTTGCTCGCCAGTAAAGTCCCTTTTTATATTATTCGAGTCAGTACAGTCTCTCTTCTTTTTTATTTCAGTTTGCTTGTCAGTAGAGTTTCTTTCTCCAATCCGCAAATATAAATAAAAGAAGAAAGGGACTCTACTGACAAACGAGTTCAAATACAAGGAAAAACGACTGCCGAGCGAATAAACCATTTAGAAATTTCAAAAAAATCCAACAAACTGGTATAAAAGGTAAAAGGAACTCTACTGTTGAAAAATAAATAAGAACTCTACTGACGAGCAAACTAAAGCAAGATAAAAGAGAAACATCCTGACACTTTAGTAGACATAAAATTAAAAAGCAAAAGGAACTGTACTAACAAGCAAACTTTTAAGAAAAATAAGCAAAATTTGTGAACAAAGCTGGAACTCTACTGATGAGCAAACTGTAAGAGTGAAAGGACTTAATTGACGAGCAAATTAAAACGAAATTAAAAGAAACATTCTGGTGGCACCGTAGCAAACAAAGAATAAGGAAAGAGACTTTACTGACGGGAAAAACTAACAAAAATAGAATAAAATTAAATGTGATTCAATTTGCTCGTTAGTACAGTTCCTTTTCAAACTTACTGTTTTTTGATTGTCAGTACAGTTCCTTTTTTTTACACAGTTCCTTTTTTTAAGTAAAGTTTTATTTTCTTAACGAGTCCTTGAACAATAATAACTTATTATTTAACAGCGGCATCAGTCTATGTCTTGAGGTGCCAAGGGCACTCTTAGAACCTTCGTATATGGATCGAGCGCGCGGTTCTTTACCAACCATTTCCCACCAACCGCGGTTTAAATCTATGCTGTTCGGTCGATGCGTGTGATTCGAACGCGCATGATGGACTTTTATGAATGAATTTATGATGATGGAATCTCAAACAAACAGTCCTTAACATTATTAAAATTCTATATTTATCGAAACGTGGTATAAAAATATAAATGCAGACATTATAAAAGATAAAATCGATAGATTAAATTTATATATATATATATATATATATATATATATATGAATAAAATTTAATTAAAATATTTATTATTTGTCACAGAGTGCTTGCACGCCTGGCAACACTTTCCTTCGAGCAATTCCAAGCTGGCACCACCACCGGTGCTCACGTGGGACACCAGGTGCTCCGTTTGCCATTTTGCACAGCAAGTGGCTGTGTCACCACCACCTGGAAAAAGATAAATAGATAAAAAGGGACTCTACTGGTGAGCAAACTAATAAGAAGAAAAGTACAAAAAAAAATATGGCGGAGTAAAATAAAAGGACTCTACTGATGAGCAAACTAAATTTTAAAATAAAGCAAAAAAGGGACTCTACTGACGAGCAAATTAAAGCAAAAGGACTCTGCTGACGAACAAATTAAATATTTCATTAGGAAATTAGGAATAGACTCTACTGACAAGCAAAATTGAATACTAAGAGAGAAATTTAGAAAAGGGACTCAACTGACGAACAAATTAAATATCTTGATGGAAAACGTCAAAAAAACTCTACATATTAATATAAAATATTTAGATATAAAATTAGAAAAAGGACTCTACTGACGAACAATCTAAATGAAATTAAAAAATGGACTTTACTGACGAGCAAATTAAATTTTAAAATTAAAAAAGGACTCTACCGACAAGCAAATATAAATATCTAGATTGAATATTAAAAAAAGGACTCTACTGACAAGCAAACTGAATCAAAGCTAATTTAAAATGTAGAGAAAATTAAAACAGACTCTACTGACGAGCAAATTGAATAATAAGAGAAAATTAGAAAAGGAACTCTACTAACAAGCAAACTGAATCAAATTAAAAAAGACTCTACTGACAAACAAACTAAATATCTAGATAAAAAATTGGAAAAGGATTCTACTGACGAGCAAAATAAATATTTTGATGAAAAACGAAAAAAAGACTCTACTGACGACTAAATAAAAAAAGATAAATAATTAGATAGATGATCAGAAAAAGACTCTACTGACGACTAAATTAAATTAAAACAAAAAAGGGACTCTACTGACCAGCAAATTCAATATATGACAATGAAATTATAAAAGGACTCTATAGACAAGCAAATGAAATTTGAGGTTTTGGTTTTTTAGATGATAAAATAATATTTCTTACCAATGATAGTGACTGTTCCTTTCTTCGTAACTTCTACAACAGCATCCATGATGGCTTTTGTACCCGTCGAGAAGTTTTCAAATTCAAATACACCAGCTGGCCTAATATATAAAACCCAAAAACATAGTAATACATTTTTAAATGATTCAAAAGTCTAGTTTGTGCCCTTTTTTAGGATTCACTTCTTTTTATAAATAAATTATAAGTATATAACGTTTAACAGACAAAATATGATTGAGGTTAAGTGCTCTCAATTTATTTTTTTTGCAAAATCTAGTAATAATTTGTGCAAAATCTAGTAATAAACTTTCAAAAGTCTCACAAGTTTTATTTATTCTCATTTTTTTCGTATTCTTTACTTTATAAATGAGCTATTATATAAAGTTCAATAATTTATAAATATAAGGTTATGTAGGAATGGTTACACTTGTTATTTGTAAAAAAAATTATATTTTAATGCCAAATTTCTTTTATAATATATATATATATATATATATATATATATATCAGTGTGAAATTAATCATATATAATATTTATATATAATTATTTAATTAAACTATATTAGTTACATTTGAACAAATGATTGAGGTTATGAGATATTTTGTTCGAAAAAAATTATGCAATATTTAGTAAAGTTTTAAACAAACCAAAAATTTGATTTTACATTCATTTTTTCGAAGAGTAAAAAAAGCTAATTATTTTAAATTAAAGTAACAAATCTTACCCATTCCAAACGATAATCTTAGCCCTTCGAATAGGTTCACAAAATAGTTCAATAGATTTTGGACCGACATCCAAACCCATCCAATTCTTTTCGATACCTGTTTTTAAATCAGCAGAACCCACCTGAAAACATGAATAATTAAAATTATTAGCAAGTAAATAGTAATTTCCTCCTTAAACTTAAATAATGTTTAAATTTCATATAAATATACGATAATTTGAAAATAATATATATAAATATATTTCAAATAATATCAATGTTATCAAATATTGATTTAATAAAAATTGATTTTATATATCGTCTAGTTTGCATTTAATGCAAAAAATATCACAGAAGAAATTTGTATTTATGTTTTGTTAAAAGACTTTAGAAACTATGAAAATATATTTTGCATGAATAAATGAATGATAAGCTACGATATCAATAAATGATAATTTATTGATTGTAGACTTTTATTAATGGCAACAATTATAAATTAGTACTAGTAATTATCTTCTTCTAGACTACTATTTAGTACACTGATAATTTATTTTCAATATCAATATTATAAATATTATATAAATGTTTATTACCTTAGCAGTTTCTGAAAAAGAATCAGCAGTGACAAAATCAACTGGCAGGTGAATTTGTACATTATTTTTCTTCGCCTTGTCCATCAATTTTTCTACAATTTTGGCACCTTCTTGATCATATAAGGACGAACCAATCTAGCAAAAATATAAAAAAATCAGTCATTAGGTTAATTGCACGACAACTACATCTTGATAATAAGCAATGGTGATATCATATTATTATACATCTCTAATATGATATAAAATAAATATATGAATGTATTCTTAAAAAAAAAACTGATTGTAATAAGTACAGCAAAAAATATATCACAACTAGAAGGAACTGCTTCTGGTGTTAATAGTAACACCATCTATTATATCTGATGTAAACTTTATATAATTATTCTATTATTTATAATAATTATAACATAATACTTTCAAAATACTTTCTTATTTGTTAACATCTCAATAATAACATAAAATAATGAAATAATAATATAAGAACTGATAATAAAATAAAAAAAACTTTATATGAACAATAAAACAATTATATAAAGTTACCATTATATGCCATAAAGATAGTAGATGGCGTTACCATTAATATTAATTACAGAATATTGTTTATAACAATATAATTAAGATGTTTTGCTAAAACTTTAAATAAATTAATATGTTTACCTGCATTCCATTTAAAACTTTCAAGAAAGTATAAGCCATTCCTCCTCCAATTATCATCTCATCGACTTTGTCTAACAAATTTTCAATTAGTTGAATCTTGTCTGCAACCTATAATTGAAATAATAATAATTAGTTTATATAGAAAAATAATATTTTTGTTACTGATTCTTCTTAGAAACAATATGAAACAAGTATCACATTATCATTCAAACGAAATTTATTCTAGATTTTTCTATATTTTTCGAAGAATAAATTATATTAAAAAATATCACACTACAATTCTATCAAACGATAACTGTTTGGTTTATTTAATAATGACATATTCTTTTATTTCTATTACCTTTGCACCTCCTAAAATAGCCAAGAAGGGCTTCGGTGGACAATCCAAGGCCTTGGCAAAATAGCAAAGTTCTTTATTTAACAATAAACCAGCTGCACGAGTTTCGAAATGTTCTCCAAGCATCGAACTGTGTGCACGATGGGCAGTACCTGAAAAAAATGTATATATATATATATATATATATATATATATATATGTACATATGTTAAAATTTAATTTAAGAAGCTTTCCAATAGGTAATTTGAAAATAGCCTTTGGCTTTAGTTATTGACATATCAATAAATAAAATGTTATAAACAAAATTGTATAATAACTTTATAAACAATGAATAAATTATTCATTTGAATTCAGAAATAGAAGGTGTGCAAACACAAAATTTAAAGTGCGCGAAATTTAAATTACCCAATTCAATATAAACAGTTGTGTTCAGGATACGAATGTAGTTTTTTGCAGAAACGATTGCAGCTTATTAAAAAAATTAAGTAGTATCATTATAGATAAATTATCAAAAATTGAAATAACTCACCAAAAGCATCATTAACATATACATCAGCCAATTTTCTTAAACCAGCTCGAAATTCTTTACCTTTTTCCGGATTTGCTTTCACCTAAAATTATAAATTATAAATTATAATATATATATATATATATTATATATATATATATTATAACTTTATATAATGTGTAAGGTATAAAGCTTTGTAGCATTGTAGCAAAGACAAACTAACTATGCAATTTGTCAAGAAAATATATACTTTTTATGAACTTGTAGTAAACGAGTCTAAAGAAGTTTTACTTCAAAAATTTTAGATTTCGTTTAATTTAAGTTATGTACCATATAATATCTATAATTGTACAATTGTTGTATAAATATAAATATAAATAAAATATAAATATAAAATAAAATAAATATAAGTATAAATATAAATATAACTATAAATATATGGCATGTCCATTGTTTATAAAGTTTGAAAGGTCTCGACGAGTAGAAAACGAATTCTCATGAAAAATTATCATATTATAATAAAAACGTTATACAATATTATTACAAAAAATATTAGTGTTCAAATTTTATTGCAAAATATTTTAAAATAAACAAGGTATTAAATTAGAAAAAGTATGTATATATATTAGAACTATATCATTTGTTCAAAACAGAATACACGTTTCATAAATTTGTAGTCTAAAGAAGTTTTACTTCAAAAAGTTTAAATTCTATTTTTATGGCATGTGAGGAATCGTTTGAAAGGTCTCGACGAGTACAACACAATTTTCATAAAACAATAATTATCTTATATATAAAAATGGAGCTCTCGATAAAACGGCTAAACCGATTTGGCCAGCATTAGTCTTGAAAAATTCGTACTAATCAGTAGGTTGTCGGAAAGGCGAGATATTATTTTAAAATTGCGTAGAAACTTTACATTTTTAATTTGAAAATTTTTGTTGAAGCGTAATTTAAATAAAACAATGGACGGTGGCTAATGCGTCAAATGTCAAACGTTTTTGACAGATGATGTTCAATTTCGTTTAATAGGATGTTTTACGCGAATATTATTTATTTATGATAAATTTGTAGTAAGTAGTTTTGTTTGTAGTTTTATTTATATACAAAACGTTATTAAACGGCCTGCAAGTGTTACTAGAGACTCAAAATATAAACTTTTTTGATATGTTAATATGAAAATGCACTTTTTGCATATTTTTCTCAAACACGATGCTCTGAAAGATCTCATTTGCATAATTATATACTCATTGGTATTTATGAAACATTTTCTAGGTAATATTATTTTCAATTTCTCAGAATTTATTGAAGAATATGTGGGGAAATCAAGCAGGCTAGTGTTTAGAGAGAAAAACAATTGGACTTGTCATATATATTTTTTATATCAGTAATATTTTATAATGAATATATTTTATATATTTTTATATGATGGGAGTTTATACGATAGAAAGTGTATAAAACTTCCAGTTTGATTGTATTGACAAAATATAGACAAAATAATGGGGTTTATTTGCTTTTATAATACCTCGTTGTATATAGCATTCAAACAACACATCCTTATACACTTAAAGTATAAATATTTTTGATCCTCTAGAAATTGTTTAGAATATACCTTACTTAGCAAAACAATGTTTACCGGATCAGCTAGTATATATATATATATATATATATATATATATATATATATATATATATATATATATATATTTTAATTACTCACCTTATTTCCGGAAGCATCCACACCTTTACCTTCTTCTTCCAAATGAAATCTCAAATTCTCCAACAAAATAATCGAGCCTTGCTTTGCATTATTGCACTCTTGTTCTACTTTGGGGCCAACACAGTCTTCCAAAAATGTCACATCCCTAAAAAAAACAATATATATAATAAAAAAAGAAAAGTTTCTTGACTTATTATTCTTAATATTTCTATTTGTGCAAAAATAATTCGTTAAACTTTAAATTATCAATTTGAATTTATTTATGTTGACAGTTGCAAAATACAAAATGTCTACTTGACAGTTGCAAATTCAACATGGCCGCTTGACAGCTCCAACATTTAAGTTAAAAATAAATGTACGTGGTTTATATTTATATTTGTTTTGTTTAAATTTAAGTAAATATATTAGTAGTGTTTTATATTATTAGAAAGCTAATAAAATTATCTACAAATCTGTGTATAACAATATATTACGTTTCGAACAAAACTGAATAAGAAAAATTGGCGAAATTTAAAATTTAGTCAGCCATTAACGGATTTCATTGGTTACATGTTTTTATAATAACTTTTATATTGGTAAAAGTTATTATATAACATATATATTATTAGATATCGTTAGAAATCTAATAAAATTATCTACAACTCTGTATATAACAATTTGTCATGTTTCTAACAAAATTGTATATAACATTTCATAACTTTAGAAACAAAATTAAAAAACAAAAATCTGCAACGTTCAAAATTTATTATTTAGTTATTAGCTATTGGTGGATTTTTTGGTTACATTTTTTTAAATTCACGTTTATATTGCAAAAATTATATATCATTAAAAAGCTATTAAAATGATCTACAAATCTGTATATAACGTTTAAAAACCTTTCAAACAAAATTAAATAATATAAAATGGTAAAATGTAAAATTAATTCAGCCTTTAACAGATTTCATTGCTTATATTTTTATATATTTAGCATGTTTGTAACAAAAGTCATCTTTATGGTTATTTATATTGATATATCGTTTAAAAGTAGATAAAAGTATCTATAAATCTGTATATAACAATTTATAAGTGTTGGAACAAAATTGTGCAAAAATAGTTCGTTAAACTTTGAAATTCATTCAATAGGCTTTAAAATTTAAATTTATTTGTGTTGACAGTTGCAAAATACAAAATGTCTTCTTGACAGTTGCAAATTCAACATGGCCGCTTGACAGCTCCAACATTTAAGTTATAAATAAATGTACGTGGTTTATATTTATATTTGTTTTGTTTAAATTTAATTAAATATATTGATAGTATTATATATCATTAGAAAGCTAATAAAATTATCTACAAATCTGTATATAACGTTTAAAAACCTTTCAAACAAAATTAAATAATATAAAATGGTAAAATGTAAAATCAATTCAGCCATTAACAAATTTGATTGGTTACATTTTTATATATTTTGCATGATTGTAACAAAATTAATCTCTATACTTATGTAGTATGATTATCTATAAATCTGTATATAACAATTTATAAGTGTTGGAACAAAATTGTGCAAAAATAGTTCGTTAAACTTTGAAATTCATTCATTAGGCTTCAAAATTCATATTTATTCATGCTAACAGTTGCAAAATACAAAATGTCTACTTGACAGTTCAAAATCCAACATGGCCGCTTGACAGCTCCAACAAATAAATGATTATTTATAATTCTTGACTCGATTCTCAATATTTATATTTATATTTATATTCATTTCCACCTTTACAATCTGTGTAAATATATTTCTATTATATTTACCTGTTTAATAGTTTCTTCAATTCCTCGGCAACAGGTCTCAAACTGTATTCCTTTTTAGGAAGCCCATCAGGACGTCCTAAATGGCTCATCAGAATAACACTCAAAGCATTTTTATTCAAAGCGTACTTAATCGTATCCAAAGCTGCCACTATTCTTTGATTGTTCGTGATAACACCGTTTTTTAACGGAACGTTGAAATCAACCCTAGGGAAAAAAATATTATATAAATAAAAAAATATTTCATCATTATATTATATATTTGGGTGGTCCTTAATATGGACATTTTCGAATTTCCTTGCTGCCAAGGGCTCAAACGCTTCCAAATTAATAAAAGAAAATCCTCTGAAAGTTTTTGCTCTTAATATTAACATTTAGATAATCCGCACGTCAATTAAAAGCTTCGTACATTCATTATTAAAGCAAAGTTAATTTTAATCTAGAAGATAAGAAAAGCAACTGCTCGCCAGTAGAGTCCCTTTTAATTTTTTTTTTATTTTGCTCGTCAGTAGAGTTCTTTTTGCACTTAAAAAATTCATTTGCTCGTCAGTAGAGTTCATTTTATCACTTTTTAACTCTACTGACGAGCAAATAATTATTTTTAAGTGTAAAATGAACTCTACTGACGAGCAAATAAATTTTATAAGGTGTAAAAAGAACTGTACTGTTGGACAAAATAAAAAATATGATAAAAAGAACTGTACTGACGAGCAAATTAAAAAATCTCGTCAGAAATGCAAAAAAAGGGACTCTACTGACGAGCAAATTAAAAAATCTCGTCAGAAATACGAAAAAAAAGACTCTACTGACAAGCAAATTATTGATTAATCTGAGAAATAAGAAAGGAACTCTACTGACGAGCAAATTAAAAAATATCGTCAAAAATGTAAAAAAAGAGACTCTACTAACGAGCAAATTAAATATCTTGTTTGAAATGTAAAAGGAGAGACTCTACTGACGAGCAAATTATTGAATAACCTAGAAAATAAAAAAGGGACTCTACTGACGAGCAAATTAAAAAATCTCGTTAAAAATGTAAAAAAAAAGACTACATCGAACAAACTATTAAAAAATCTGGAAAATAATATAAAGGGACTCTACTGGCGAGCAAATTAAAAAATATCGTCAAAAATGTAAAAAAGAGACTCTACTAACGAGCAAATTAAATATCTTGTTTGAAATGTAAAAGAAGAGACTCCACTGACGTGCAAATTAAAAAATATGATCAGAAATTTAAAAAAGAGACTCTACTGGCGAGCAAATTATGAAACAATATAGAAAAAGAAAAAGAAACTCTACTGGCAAGCAAATTTAAAAATCTCGATAGGACTCTACTAACAAGTAAATTAAAAAATCTGGGAAATAAAAAAGGAACTCTACTGACGAACAAACTATTGAAAAATCTCGCCAGAAATAAAAAAGGGACTCTACTGATGAGCAAATTAAATAATTTTAAGAAATAAAAAAGGACTCTACTGACAAGCAATCATTGATTAATCAAGAAAATAAAAATGGGACTCTACTGGCAACCAAGATACAAAATATATAGAAAAATGAATACTACTGACGACCATAAATAAAATCAAAGAATATTTTTCAAAAAAGCACAAATTAATTATACAAAAAAAACACATTATAAATAAATTTTGTTTATACGACAGTCAAGAATCTAAATTATACTTATTAAACAAAGATTTTGTTAAATAACCTAAAAAAAAACAACAATTTTTTTTATTTTAAATAATTTTGCAACGAATTGAATTTTTATTCACTTTTCACAGTTTTTTAAAAGTTTTTACTAAACATTGTGAATTGATTCGTTTTGTTTTTGCAAAATATGAAAAAATCTGCATTTCTTATATTATATATATAATATAATATATATATATATATATATATATATATCCTATTATTATTCCTATTATATATATATATATATATATATATATATATAATAAATATTAATTTGTGATAATGAATTCTTTCTTACCTCATAAGAACTTTCTTGCCTTCCAAATCCACACTCTCGATACTCAATTTGTTCAAAGCCATTGTATAAAATATATTAATAAAACACTTATTATATAATTTCTTTACAAAAATCTTGCAGGTACTCTTGTACTTTTATCAAATTGACCTTTGAGACTTCTCGAACACACACATGCACTCAATAAAATAAAATCTGCAAAATATAATTTATATTAGTTAAATATCAAATAACTAAAACTATAATAACAATAATAATGTAATAATATTTAATTACTTTTAACAATAATAATAATGTGACAATAATATGTAAGTTTTTGTCAAGTGCAAGAAAGACAAGATAAAAGGTTATTGAAGGTCATGATAAAAATTTGATGTTTTTATCAAAAATATTGAAAAGTTTGTTGTGTTATAGACTAAGTTACGTAATAACATGATTATATTCATTTTATTACCAAATACATGCATATATAACGCATTTAATTGTGTATTTAACACATTTGTTGTATTTAATTCAAGTAGTAACCTCAAAATTGTCAAAATATCCATAAAACAGTTTTTACATTATTAAAGTATAAAATTATATAAAAAACACAAATATAATACCACAGAATGTATTCCCTTACATAATTCTAAGTTATTCGTATAAAATTCACTTATAAAACAGCATTTTACAACATTTTGTCGGCACAATGAATGAAGATGTCAAAAGTAGAAACTGTCAAGTGAAACACATCAACGAGTGTTACCGTGTGAAGTTAAACACATATAAGAGGCGGGAGTTTTAAATTTGAATTAGAATAATTTGTAATTATAAGTTTTTTGTAATATTAATAAGGTATAAAAAATAATAATAACTTATTAATGCTTAAGTATAAATATAATATATATTAGTTCATATAACACGACTTTATAAAGCATTTTATCAGCACAAAGAGTGATTTTATTGGTTACATTTTTTTTAAATTTACGTTTATATTGCAAAAATTTATTATACGACATATATAGTATTATATATCGTTAAAAAGCTATTAAAACTATCTACAAATCTGTATATAACAATATATTACGTTTCAAACACAATTAAATAAGAAAAATTATTGAAGTTTAAAATTTAGTTAGCCCTTGGTGGATTTTTTGGTTACATTTTTTTAAATTTACGTTCATATTACTAAAATTTGTTATACGACATATATATTAATATATATAGTTAAAAAGCTTATAAAATTATCTACAAACCTGTATATAACGTTTACAAACCTTTCAAACAAAATTAAATGAAAAAAATTAGTAAAATGTAAAATTTAATTAGCCATTAACAGATTTTTTGGTTACTGTCAAACACATCAACGAGTGTTACCGTGTGAAGTAAGCAACACATAAGAGGCGGGAGTTTTAAATTTGAATTTGAATATTTGAAAATTTTGGATAATAATAAGTATATAATTATAATAACACGTTACGTCAATATTTTTAGTACAAATGCGTTTTGTTTTTAGTTTTTAGTTTTATTTAGTTAAAAAGGACTCTACTGACGAGCAGATTAAATACCAGAAGAAACAACTCTAAGAGAAAAATATTAGCGAAAAAATTGCTGATAGTAAAAAGGGACTCTACTGACAAGCAAATACTAATAATTTTTTAAAAAGACCCTACTGACGATATAATTCAATTCCAAATTAGAACAAAAAAAAAACTCTACTGACGAGCAAATTAAGGACTGAAAAAATGGTTAACGGAAAAAGGGACTCGACTGATAAGCAAATGACAAATTTGGAGAAAAAAGGACTCTACTGACGAGCAAAAATATTTGGATCTATTCAAAGAAAGGACGAGCAAAAATATTTTAAATTCTTCTAAAAAGGGACTCTACTAACAAGCAAAACCATTTCAAATTTTTCAAAAAAAAAACAATCTACTGACGAGCAAAGATATTTTAATTTATTCTAAAAAGGGACTCTACTGACGAGCAAAAATATTTGGATCTGTTCAAAAAAAGGACTCTACTGACAAGCAAAATATATTCTAGCAAGAAAAGGAACTCTACTGACTAATAAATATAGATTTATTATTATTTTCTACCAAAAGGGACTTTACTGACAAACAAAACTATTTTTAATTATTCTAAAAAGGACTCTACTGACGAACAAAAATATTTGGCATTTTTTTCAAAAAGGACTGTACTAACAAGCAACAACATTTTAAATTCTTCTAAAAAGGACTCTACTGACGAGCAAAAATATTTGGATCTGTTCAAAAAAAAGGGACTCTACTGACAAGCAAAATATATTCTAGCAAGAAGAGGAACTCTACTTACTAATAAATATAGATTTATTATTATTTTCTACCAAAAGAGACTCTACTGACGAACAAAATTAATTTAAATTTTTCAAAAAAAGGACTCTAATGACGAGCAAAAATATTTTAAATTATTCTAAAAAGGACTCTACTGACGAGCAAAAATATTTTAATTTATTCTAAAAAGGGACTTTACTGACGAGCAAAAATATTTGGATCTGTTCAAAAAAGGACTCTACTGACAAGCAAAAAATATTCTAGCAAGAAAAGGAACTCTACTGACTAATAAATATAGATTTATTATTATTTTCTACCAAAAGAGACTCTACTGACGAGCAAAATATTTTAAATTCTTCTGAAAAGGACTCTACTGACGTGCAAAAATATTTTAAATTATTCTAAAAAGGACTCTACTGACGAGCAAAACTATAATAAATTATTCTAAAAACGACTCTACTAACAAGCAAAAACATTTTAAATTATTCTAAAAAGGACTCTACTGACGAGCAAACATATTTTTAATTCTTCTAAAAGGGACTCTACTGACAAGCAAAATTTCTTTAAATTGATCAAAAAAGGACTCTACTGACGATCAAAAATATTTTAATAATTTTTAAAACTAAATATAAATTTGAAATTATTAAAATTTATATTTTAAATATAATTTTTTTAATAAAGTCGTGTTTTAGGACTTTGTTATCGGCACAAAGTATCCTAAAGTAAAAACTGTCAAAGGTCAGCCATTGTGCAAACTGTCAACACGTTGAAGAATGAAGTTAACATCATATTGGGCGGGAGTTTTAAATTTCAAATACTGTTAAATATCTCTTGCGTAATAATAAGTATTTGACACATATATATTGATAATAATAATTAATTAACGCATAATAATGTAAATGTATACGTAAATATATATAAAACTTGATATACAAATACATATTTGTATTTATATATATATGTCTTCTTATTACATAACCTATATATACATGTTTGACAATTTGTCAATTTGACATTTCAATATACTCAAGCGGCTAAAATTAAGTTTATTTAAATAATTTATAAAAAATTACGTGTAAAACTATCAATATATACATATAAAGTATACAAATGTGTTATTAAATAATTATTATAGTGTTAAAAGTGAAATAGTGTATAAAAATTACAGGTAAATATAAATTTGTAAAAGACCTAACCTATATGTACTTATCATATAATTATTAATCATATATTATATTAAAGTGTTTTAAATTATTAACAGTAAATTATTAATGATAAATAAAAACTATGTTGTAATTAGTTATTAGTGTTACATTTGAAAACATTTATATAAATCGCTTAGATTAGATAAATAGTGATTGACAATAAACATAACTTATATGTCATTATTAAATAAGTAAATATATGTATATATGTATATATATACATATATATATATATATATATATATATACATATATATACAAATTTACCTGTTCATAATAATCTTTTCACCTCAAGTATCTAAATATCCACTTCATTGTTTATTTCTATTCTTGAATATTTTTAACTTCTCTTTTTTAATTGTTCTAGATATTTTTGTTCGTAAAAATGTGGCCCATAATAATGCAGTTCTTGAGAAGCAGGGCTCCAATAATAACTTTGCCAATTGCTTCAGTAATCGGTGTCATCGGTTACAACATCGAAGGCTGGATATCTGATAAATATACACCGTATCAGGGTAAATATATAATTAAATAAGTAAATCATTTATTATATATATATATATATATATATATATATATGTATTTATATTTATGTTTCTATTTTTTCAGAGTCGATCCAAGATAAAAGAATAGAACGTCTGTCAGACGACAAATGTCTAGAAAATGCAACAGAAGTCAAAGCTTTAACTTACAACGAGAATGTCTTTAGTAAAAATCTATCACCGAGTTTGAAATGATTTTTAATAAATAAAGATGTTTATTAAAGGGAAGTGATATGTATATATTTGTAGATAAATAAATGAATATTTGAAATTTACCTGAAGCGATGTCTTTAAAATTTAAAATTCTTTTGTAGGTTTATTTGCACTTGTAAATTCTGCTTCGTAAAGCCTTTTCTGCTACTTATGGTCTTTTCTTGACTCACTGTTTTCTCTTGAAAAATATTTGTATTAAAGTGCACATTTTTTTTATACTCGAGCAAATTTTTTTCTATTTTTTTAAAATGATATCTCAAGAACTTTTGGATTTAAATTTTAATAGAAGGCTGTTTTGTCTTTCTTTCATATTTTATATAAATAAATTAAACACGTTAAGTTATATAATAAACAATAAGAATTCGTTCTACTCTTGTTGAATTGAATAAATGTTATTCGTATATAAATTTGCTAAAATTTGATCATTAGTAGAGTTTCTTTGATCATTTTATTCCTAATTTGTGCTTTCTTTCCAGTAGAATTGCTTTTTATCACTTTTCCGAATTTGCATGTCAGTAGAGTCCTTTTTCTATTATTTATTAGTAATATCAAGTTTGTTCGTCAGTAGAGTCCTTTTTTGCTATTTTTGAAGTCTGATTTTAAGTTTGTGCGTCCTTTTTCTATTTTAGTAGAGTCCTTTTTCTATTTTTTAACTCTGATATTAAGTTCGTTCGTCAGTAGAGTCCTTTTTCTATTTATTAACTATGATATTAAATTTGTACCTCAGTAGAGTCCTTTTTTATTATTTTTAAAGTGATATTAAGTTTGTGCTTCAGTAGAGTTCTTTTTGCAATTTTTTTAACTATGATATTAAGTTTGCTCATCAGTAGAGTCCTTTTTCTATTGTTATTAGTAATTGAGCTTTGTGTGTCAGTAGAGTCCTTTTTCTATTTTTTAACTTTGATAATAAGTTTGTACGTCAGTAG